CGCCTCCTTACAGTCCCCTCTCTTTCTCTCTATCTCTATCACTACCACCCTACCCCACCCCCACATGGTCTGCTGAGCTGTGGTCACGTTAATGTTTACAAACCGTACAGCCAGTTTTAGTGACGGCTATTAGGGGCAGCTAATTTAGTTTGAACCGACTTTAAACTTACAGGAGGTAACTAAGAGGAGGCTGCTTTCACGGGGGGGGGGGTGTAGGGTCGGGGTTAGGGGAAAGGAGGGGGGTTAGTGTTTTAAAGCAAATATTTTCAGTGGCAGCATTGGTACTGTCGAATTCACAAATTATGAATTACTGAAAAGTAGAAAATAAATCAACTAAATAGCGGCGTATGATACGCCGCGGGTCGGCTCGTTGTAGTAAAAACGTGGGGAAAAGGGACATAACCCAGTAACTGTAATTTGTGTACAAACAACCGTAACAACTGGTGGCCAGTATGGGGGAGACGATATGGTCGAGTGGTTGGGCACACGATTGCTATCCCACTCGACACGGGTTCAAATCTATGTGTTCTAGTCAGTAACGTATTCACACAACGTGTTTTTTACGAGTTGTCTTTTTACGAGTTGTCTTTTTACGAGTTGTCTTCGTTTACCCCAAAAAAAAAAAGTGAATTGATAAAATCGATAGCAAGATTTTAATGCAAACAAACAGACAAAGACTAAAAAGTAGAAAATAATAATCATTAAAAAAGTTTTAAAAAAACCACGTTTTCTGATTGAACTAAAAAGTAGAAAATAAATGCTATACATCACAATAATGCAAGCGAGCACTCTACTATAAGCGATCAAAAACGTGGGGCGCCGTGATTTTCTTACAGTTTCTAATACTGTTGACTCTCTACAAGCTCCCTAATAAAAGTCAATAGTATTATCTAATCAATAGTAATATAACGTTTACTTCGGCGCCCCACGTTTTTCATCGCTTATAGTAGAGTGATCGCTTCCATTATTGTGATGTATAGCATTTATTTTCTACTTTTTAGTTCAATTAGAAAACGTGGGTTTTTAAAAACTTTTTTAATGATTATTATTTGCGTCTGGTCCTGAACATCTATAGTGGTAAAAGTAAAGTCCTCAAGCAGCACCCTTAAAAACATAGAGAGAGGAAGCCCTAAAAGAAGTGGATAGAGTCATCTTAGAATCATTGTTGATAAGCAAGACGGGACAGAAGCAGAAAGAACCTTAAGGACTTACAACATGTGTTTTGTGATGAAGTGGGTAGTGTTTGTTGTGTGTGGAAAGTGGTGTGTATGTGTGAGATGAGTTATTGGATGTTATAGGCTAGGGTAGTGATGTGTGATGTGTGTATGTGTTGTGCTGTGTGAGACATTGAAATCGTTGGGTGTGTTTTATGATAAAACGTATCTGGGAAGTATGTTTTGGTGTGGATCGGTATGGGACGGTGAATATGGTGTGGTATTAAACACAAATTGTATTTATTTAGCGGCAAAATAATGAGTTTTTATCTGTTCAAAAACGTTTAAATTCACATTGAAGCCAACGCTTATATTTTTTTTTCAATAAAGCCAAACAAATTATAATTCGCATTCTTTATTCATTAAATATACATGATTGACATTTGAACATTTGTTATAAATGAATTAAATGGATATACACTAATAAAAAACATCTTTAAATGATATTCTCGTTTATGCTCGGCATACTTTGAAAATATAACACACTCAGTAGTTGAAGTGCTATTCTTTTCCACAGATATCACCCATGTACAATTTGAAAAATTGCTCATTTATAACAGAACGATGAGCTGCATTTTCAGCCGCAGTGGTCACTGGCCTGGTTTGCGCTAGCATGACTCTTTACCCTAACACCTCTTAACAATTTATCTCAAGCTTAAGTAAAAATTACTAAGTTTATGTCAATGATATCGTTACTGTGATACGCTGTGTGCACCGTCTGGTAAACAACAAAAGCTGGTGGGTTAAGTAATTTAACTAGTCTCTGGATAGTTGCCCGTTTGAGACGGAGATGATGGTCTGTTAATAAGAGATGTAAGGGCATCAAATGTAAGAAAGGATATCAATTGTACTATATATTTCCTTCTTTTAGGATATTGTCCGTAATATGTTTACTGCTGAAAATAAAGCTTTGTTTCTGCTGTTTTCAGACTGAAGAAAAATAACAATAGTTTAAAATATGTTTTTAAAAATCTGATAGCAAATAGGTTGTTCGCAACCCCCCTCCCCCCCCCCCCCCCCCTAACGCCCTAGGAAGATAAGGTTAAAAATATGTTGCATTGTTATTGTGGTACAAAATCTAAATCAAGACTTTGCAGTTTTTCAACTTTCCATTGGCGTAAACAATTAGTATTGCAATGTCGTTTGTTTGTGTATGTATATGTATATGTTTGTATCTAAACACGATAGACAAATGATCTCAGACAAAATATCTCAGACAAAATATCTCAGACAAAATATCTCACAGTAAAATATTTATAGTAATCAGGATTATGCGTCGTTGACCCTGGCTCAAGTTCTAGCCCATTAGGCCGTCCTTGTCTCGGTTTTGTTTTAAAAGTAACCCGAACCAGTCACACTAAAGTATTCAGTATTTCTTCCAGACTTTTTTTTCTCCGGGGGGGGGGGGGGGCACTTGAAACTTTCGAGGGAAGGGGGGCGGACTAAAATTTTCGTAGGGGGCGGACACTGTTAAAACTATATATTTTCTATATAAAATCCATTTCGTTCTTGGGGGAGAGGGGGCGGTACACTTTATTCGGCAGAGACCCCCCCACCCCGAAATGATGCCTGGAAGAAACTCTGAAACTATTAAAGACGGAATAGAGGTTTTCTTACTTGCTTCAATCTGTTGTTAAGTACAAATGGTGTGCGGCAGAGCGAGGTAATAGCATTACCCTAGCCGCTTGTACGACGACAGAGGCCACATACGTGTGTGTCCTGTGTTAAAACCAATGTACCCTACCTAACCTCATTTGAGAATTGGCCCGAAGATTTATTAACATACACACGATTTTTCCTGTGTAATCCTGTCTGTAGTGCGTTAACATGTCTTTTCTTGTAATGTTTCTTAGATATCTCCAACACGAAATTCGTAGAATAGCATTCCAAGCTTATGTCACATATAAGAGGATATGCTCTATTTTCTACTGTTAAAGATATAACGCTTTTAAAATACTTTTACCATATTTGGCACCAGAAACTAAGTAATAAATAGCTAAAAGAGGTTAAAAAACAATTTCAGTAGTTATGGAAATCAAATAAACTTTAGCCATTTTGATTTTTCCGATACTTTTAAAAAACACCAAGCAATCTAATTTACACGGTTTATATGTCAGTATATTAAAACTTTTGTCGCGACAAATTTTTGATAGAGCTACTAGTCAGAATTCCACAAGTTCTAAACAATAGCACTGTTTTTAGTATGCACACGTTTAATAGAAAATAAGAACTTTTTAGCGCAATTTCCATACGGACAATTGCGATTATTAACTCGTCATTTCTGGATGGATGAATGAATGGATGTGTTTCCGCAGCTTTAAGTCGTATCTCCTCCTCAACGAAGCAATATCGAGGACTAGTTCCAAAGCAAATATGTTAAGCAAGTTCCGAGGATGATTGTGGGCCAAAATAATTCCCGAATTCCTTCCTGGATTTCACGGAAAAGCCAAAAAACCTCGAAAACATGCCATATTTTGCACATATCTCGGCAACCAGACCTTTTAGCGACTTCAAACATTTTCCAATCGATTCCTGCCATAATTTAGAACAATATTGCCGATGAAAGTTTTCAAAAATATCCTTTCGTTCGGTCACAACATTTTTTTTAATATATTTTAAACTGAGCATCGTGTAGGCCTAGGATGATGTTTAAACTGAGCATCGTGTAGGCTTACTCGTTAAAATAAAATTATTTCCGTTGATATAGGCTAATATAGTTGTCTTTTTTAAGCGCAATTTCCATACTGGTTTCTATTTTGTTTTGAATTATTAAAACTACTTGTGTTGCATTATTTATTTGCTGAATATATGATTTATCTCGATTTAAAATTGTTATGGATAACATAAGGAAATTGCGCTTAAATTGTCAAAAGACTTTTTATTAACTTGTTTCTAGAAAAGCAATCACAAAAGTTTTATTTTTTTTTAATAAAGGGCAAATACTGAAAATGTGTTGATCATTGTATTATTAATAAAAAAAAAAGATAGTTGGCTTTTTAGTGTTGAAATAAACGTCGAAATAAGAAAACAGCAAATAGTAACGAAAACCAGGTATTGAAAATTGCATTTCTGTGCAATTTGTAAAGCCGATTGTAAGCTATGAGTGTTTACGAGAAGACGCAATATACAATTATCATATATATGAGAAATCCAGCTTTCCAATGGTGCCAAATACAATATGATGACGGATATTGAACTTTTCGTAAAAAGCATACACGAGTGGCAAAAATGATTTTTTTAATTAATGGGTTATCAAATTGTATTGTATGCACATCCAATTTTTCTCATTAAAGTTATTATAATATTAATACAAAAATGGACATTATGACGACAAATCAGAATTTTGGTGATTTTTTTAAATGCGAATATCCTGTAAGGAACATTACCTCTCAGCTACCAATGGTAGTGATGTCTGATGAAAATGTTTGCTACGGTTTTGTTACTGTTATTTTCAAATAATTATTGTATACGTCGAGCAGTGATTTGGTCTAAAGTAAACTAAACGCTGATGTATTTAAAGGCTTCTATTCAAAATGATTAACCTGAGACCATGAAGTGTTTACAATAGAAAAAAAAGACTCTTAAAGTCTAAATTTTTCTCACCATATCAAAAAGTAACTTCAAAAGCCAGAAGCGTCAGGTGGGGCGGGGGAGAGGAGCAGAATACCAATGTTATCGCACAATGATGCTACGTTACTGTATACCGTGACATCACCAGCCCGTTAATCATATTATAAAACTATTCTTAAAGTCCTTAGCAGAGAATAACAAGAACGAATATTTGCAATTTTTATTATTGTTGCTGTAATTTAGGTATGTATACAGTACACTTATTTTGTTAGCTTGAACATTATATCATGTGCTAACCAGCTTCTCTCAGTATTAATTTTGAAGCAAGAAACTAACCGTTTCAGAGAGTGCAACTTGATACGAACCAGCAATAATTTCCGCCAGACTCCCTGTGGCAAAAAATATGATTTACCAAAAATAAAATGTTAGAATAAATCAATTTTCAATTTTATGTTTTATGAAGTTTCTTTTACAAACTCACTTTTGCGTCCAACGTCTATCCATACAGTAAATTATAAATATTTTTTAAAAAATTGATAACTTAATTTTTATGGATTCAGCTTATGTTTCTGAACAAGTTGTTGCTTTATGTTACCTAAAATTATTCATTTTCAACAATGTGCTCAAACCACATGTATTTGAATTCTGATTTCAAAAGTCAACTTTAAAATATCATTTTACCATAATATAAAAAAGAAAAAACGAGAATAAGAATTTAACTGTAGATGATGTTATGCTTAATTTTACAGGCCCAAATGTTTAATCCCGCATTCTAAAATTTGTCATATTTAAATAATATTGATAAGTCGAGATCCTATTTGATATAAAATGTAATTATCAGTTAGCATGATTAAACTAGTTTTGTATAACTTTACAAAATCTGCCAAGTAATTTTTAAGTTAATTTGTCTATTTGTATTCATAAAATGTTTTTAACGGTCACAACATTATAAAATATGCACATATGACTAAAACCATTTATCTAAGAAACAATCATTCGTTGATAATGATAGAATCAAATAGTTTTAAGCATATAGAGAAACGTTTTAAACTAATTCAAGACTTAAACGAATTCATTGGAAACACATGGTAGTGAATTTTTTCTTCTTCAATCTAGAGAAGAATAAAAATACTAACTTAGTAGAAGGGTATGTATTTTGAGAACAAAATCTTTTAAAAATATTTTAAAAATACATTTTTACATTGAATCAAACTTGGCCACAACAAAAGTAATATGAATTCAATGAGTTATTGTGTAAAAAAAGTATTAAACACGAAAAATCAATAAAATGATATAAATCAGTATGAAAATATTAACAAAAAAGTTAAATTATAGAACAAATTAAAAAAAATACACTGATGGGATTTAATTCTATAAGCAAATACAATGAACGTGAGACCCTGCGCTTACTCAGTTTAGACTCATAAGGTAATTTTCTTTTGTACAACATGGACTCTTTAATTAATAGCTTAAAATTAGTACATTTAGTGTATTTTAAGAAATTACTCACTAATGATTTTCCTTTTTTTCGTCTTCATTGTAATTCTTGATGATTCTAAAAAAACAAGCGAAATATTATTGAAACAATAATAATAATACGTTCTCGAATATTTTTAGACAAAACAAGGAGATTGCGACTCCCGTGCAATTGTATAGACGAAATATTGTAACCGTGCTAAATGACTTGACTAAGTCAGTCCTCGCTACTCCTTATAGAAAATAGGGCCTCCACCGTTTCCTTCGATTTCTTCCAATCCCAGACTATTCAGAGCAAATACTGTATTTACGTATTTTTACAAAAATAAAAATAAAAATTCACAGGGAGCTTAGTATCATGATTTGAAGCGAAAAGGTATTTATCTATATAATACGAAACTTTAAAAGTTTTAACGTCGAAAAAGAATACACAATAATATGACGTCATTGATTCTAGAGTAAATTATATAATTTAAATTCTAATTCCGAAAACTTTACTCATTTATAATGACTTCATTGATACGTGGTAATAATGACACTAATATTACCGCCTAATTTTTTGTCTAATCTTAAAAAGGTTCTACAATGCAGCGATTCTTTCGAAATACATTTTTTACTTATTTATTACCCCGCTGCTACCCAAACCTATTCCGAAACCCGTTTCCATACCCTTACCCCTAAGCCTAACCTTAAACGTAAACAATCTTTAAACTAAATCTTAACGTAACCCTACACTAATTATTTACTTATCACCCACCATCCATTTAAATAAATAGAGAAGGCAATGATTGATACAGGTACCGGCAACGTGTGGTTTCTTTGATGGAATAATCAATCAAAAAAAGTTTATTTAATGATAAATAAAGTACCAAAAATAGATAGATTGTAAAGAAATTAATGTTTACGAGAGATCTATGAAACATACCACAGCTATATCCTGTCCGTTTAAACTCGATGTCTTCAACTTGAAGTATCTGTATATATATATATATATATATATATATATATATATATATATATATATATATATATATATATATATATATTTTTTATTTATATATATATATATATATATATATATATATATATATATATATATATACATATACATATATATATATATATATATATACATATACATATATATATATATATATATATATATATATATATATATATATATATATATATATATATATATATATATGACTGAGAACAGTTAATAATAAAATGTATCCATACTCGGTTATTATTTCAGCTGGATGAAGCTTTGATTACTCAATAGTTTGCAGATTTACGAAATAATGTCACCCCCCCTCCCCTCCATTTGTCGGGATCATAATTTTTTGTGCTTCAAAATCTATTTCACACAAATCACTTTTAAATTGAACTGAATTATTTCTATATATTTTGAAAATAGTTTTCTTCGGTGTAACATCCTAAATCGTGTTACAGGGCGCCGCACCACCTTGTGTCGATGTATAGATAGAGTCATGTCAATCGTTTTCATTTTTCAGTTAATTTGTTTTAATAGTTCGTCATCATACCATTTCTGTCACTGTATCTGAACAACAGGTTGACTTTGCGATGCAGGTGTTGAACGCTTGAGTATAGCTATAGAAAGATGCAAAAACATATTTGAAGCCGTACACACATACATTCACATTGTTAGAAAACAAGCTGCAAGTGCCTCCTTGCAGTCCCCTCTCTCTCTCTCTATCACTATCACTACACCCCACCCCCACATTGTCTGGTGAGCGGTGTTAACTCTAAATGTTTACAAATCGTAGAGCCGTAGAGCAGGGTTTCTATTAGGGGCAAATAATTTAGTTCGATTTTAAACTTACAGGAGGTAACTAAGAAATAACTAAGAGGAGGCTGCTTTCACGGGGGGGGGGGGGGGGTGGTGTAGGGTCGGGGTTAGGGAAAAGGGGGGGGGGGGGGGTTAGTGTTTTAAAGCAAATATTTTCAGTGGCAGCATTGGTACTGTCGAATTCACAAATAATGAATTACTGAAAAGTAAAAAATAAAACAACTAAATAGCGGCGTATGATACGCTGCGGGTCGGCTCGTATATATATATATTTATATATATAAATGTATAATAATATATAGTGCAATCTCTGATTCGGTTGAGTAAGTTTTTAATTGAATTAAATGTTTTATGTTTTGTGCAATAACGACAAAATTTGTTACAAAAATACCTCTTGGGCCTCCACCTTCACCTCCACCTCCACCTACACCTACACCTACACCTACACCTACACCTACTCCTACACCTAAATTTAATCCTGAAACCTAGCCTACCTCTACCCCTGTCCTTAACCCTACTCCTACACATACCTCTACCAAAACCCGTTTCCATTCTCATACTTATAAGCCTAAGGATAAGCTTAACCATAAACGCAAACAATCTTTAAACTAAATCTGACTGTAACCCTACACTTTAGCATTACATTTTTCTTACTTAACTGTATTGTACTCTAGCTTAATCTTTTCTAAATATTTTACTAATACTGTAATATTTTTTCCCATAACTCTATTTTACTCATTTTACACTCCTCCGTATTGTATTTTTCCAAACAACGTGAATCGGGTACCCTTTTGAATTGAGCACCGATTTCGAAAATATAGGTTTTTGCAGTAAGACTATTCTAGAGGCTTTATTCGGTATCTTGTTCTCGCGTTTAGCAAACGATTAAATAAAGACATTTGCTGTTTGTGTCTGATTTAACACAACTTTTTAATGAACATAAAATTGTTTTAGTATTTGCATAAATTCCACAATGCGACATCTCTTTACAGACAAAATTTTAATATATTTAAAATTAATACACTATACAATAATATACAGCATTTGAACTTATTTAATGTTTTCTCAAATCATTTGATTTAGAAAAAAATAATTACAAGCATTATTCTTTTATCATCATATACCACTTCAGTTTCATTAAAGCTTACCTACATGTCCAAGTAGGGGCAGCATCGTTTTTATGCTGTAATACATTCTCAAAATACATCGCGAGGCATCTGCCAACCATCTTTTCACAGGCTGAAGTGTACATTACGTTTACACGTTTGTATACATGTATTTTATCGAAATATTCTCCTACTAACTTTTTAATTTAAAAAAATGGAATTAGATTAAGGATTACTATGTTTTGCTATTTAGTGTGTACTTTTTTTTAAAAAATACCTGTTATTGTGTTTTCTTTTGATTGGACTTTTCGAATATTCATTGAAATTATTTTAAAAGCTTACCTATAGTTAAAGTGTCTTTGTTAAAGTCTGAAATTAATAATAATGTAATTTCTTAGAATACAAATGAGCCTTGGTATGGTTAAAAAAGAAGTTTTTTAAAAAAAGTTTGATGTAAAACTTTGCATGGGAAACTATACTATAAATTTTAGTAACATGTACCTTATATTATACACTTTTTCTTTAAGCTACACATTAAAAAAAAGTATTAGTCAAAAAGGAAATTTTAAGGATGACACGGAGCCGAGGAGTTTATTTGTTCATCATCTAGTTTACACAAGCAATGATGAAGTTTGTAATAAATCTAACAGAATTTATTTTATTTGCATAGACTAACTGCAGATATTATCTACAGCTGTTTGGACAAAAGTACATAACACAAACTATAAAATGTCTTAAAGAATAAATTTATGAATGACTAAAAGACCGAACGACCGAATAACGGAATGGCTAATTAACAGATCGACTGATTGCTTGATTAAAAATACAGAATGAATGACTGAATGCCGGAATGACCTAAGGCTAAAATGACTAAATTAATGATAGACCGATTAACTAAATAAATAAACGTAAGACAATTGGAACATAACTCCAAAACTTATTTTTAAACAGTGCTTACAATCATTATATATGCAAAGGATTTTAGCAAGTAAGTATAACGCCGAAAATTCAAAATAGTATGAGGAAAATATTGAATAAAAATAAATCAACGGTTCAAGCAAAGATATGCCCTACCATTAAAGTCAAAGGTGAAAGTAGCAATGCATAACAACAGTTTTTCTTAGGAATCGGATACTGCCAATATAATTTAGCTTCAGAAGAAAGTTAAAATAATATATGTTATTTCTTACTTGTTCTACGAAAAAAAAAACAATGACAAACCTAATCCCACTAAACTTACCACAGTTTAGGTCAAATCTAGCTAGTTCATCTTTAAATACATTCATTGTCTCGTCTAGTTCTTCTAATGTCGTGTTAAAACTATCTTGGTTACATTTGAAATAGGAAGCTAGCTCCCTAAGAATGAAAAACATTTATTTATTAAATTTCGTACTTACAAAATTATACCAGTAAGTTATTTTTTGTTTCTGGCTACGCACCTACACACACACACACATATATATATATATATATATATATATATATTTATATATATATGTATATATATATATATATATATATATATATATATATATATATATATACATATATATATATATATATATATATATATATATATATATATATATATATATAATATATATATATATATATATATATATATATATGACTGGAAACAGTTAATAATGAAATCCATATTCGGAAAGAAAGGTATTGTTGAGAGAGAGGGAGTAATGTAAAAAGTCCCTTTCCATAAAGACTTTTTAATTCGTATACGTATACATGGAAGTATAGTAATCATGCAAAAAAAAACAAAAAAACCAAACAAATAGAGATTAAAAATCTTGATGTTTTATCGTAACATAATCAGCATTTAATGTTCCCTCCGTCCCCTTCGTCCGCTTCATTGGCTATTCCGCACATTGCATGGACATCGTTGCCACAAGATCCACAAGAATGGGCTGCACTACAATATTTTTCACAAACTACACATAATCTGTTGAAGATATTCTTGTCACGCAACTAGTCTGGACGTTCCGCCACGGCAGCAGATGTGTTAGCTGAGGATATCGTTGCAGTTATGGCAACCTCCATTTCTTGTTCAATGTTCTCAAGATCTTCCCCAGTAACTCTTTAATCGAGAGCCTCTCTTGGTAGATTTTAAGTGCTAAGTCCTACTTTTACTTTGCATTCAAATAAGGCTTCGTATTACTCGATGAAGAGAACAGTTTTTCATAAATCAAATGAATCAGCTCAACGGGTTGAGAGTCTCAAATTCATGTCATCATCATGCTTTGAACGTCTTGGTTGACACGTTCTTCTGAACCTTGGCTTTGGCTATGCCTTGGTTTTCCGTGAACTAGTTTAAGACCATAGGTTCTTTTGTTCAGAAATATTTTGGTAGCCATCTGGTATGTCTATTTCTTGGTCTGACGGCCCTTTTGGTCCATGTCGCATTGCATATAGAATGCTATACAAACACGAGCCAAACAATACTTTACTCACAATGAAACAGCACCCAGAATAATGAAAACGCCATCACAACTTAGTCTAGATAGTAATTGGCCAGGACATCCCGGTCAGTGAGCGCATTGGCCGGCCAATGTACGAAATACGCTCTCAATGCTTTGGCCAAGAGAGCCGGCCAATTCGCACATTGGCCGGCCAATGCGTGCTTTGGCCGCACTTCGGGCTTTGACCGTAAGATATATAGAATTCTCTTCATACTGACTCATTTTCAGTGATTGCCGATAAACTGAAGTGTGATATTACTAAAGTTTTTTTAAATTTCCGAAAAAAAGATCACTTCTGACTGATCTCTTCAAAACTTTTCAAGCATGGTTGAACGTCATGTCAATGCCTTGTGATATAACAACTGCCTGAATTAAATGTTTAATTACTATTTTTAAAATGAATCAATATATAATTTATAGAGCATTCATTTCCCTTTCTATCAAACACACATTAATTGCGTCCTTCAGTGCACAATTATTTTTTTTAAGCATTACCATTCTATTTAAACAATGGAATATTATACAACACGGTTTAGGCGAGATCACTCCCCTTCATTTAAATACTACTCGAGAAATACATTAGAATGAAACCGAAAATCGGCAGCCAGTAAAATAAAACAGACATCACAAGATACATACATATGACATTAGTCGTTATTCACGCTAATTCGCGAATTAGCGGGTAATCATACGAATAATGTTGTTAATTTTAAGCTACTTTTATATTGGCCAATAAGGCCGACCTTTGTGCGTTTGCCTCACTTTGGGCTTTATATATTAACAATACATATTTAATTATTAGATTATATATACTTTTAAAATATAACAAAAATATTGTTTATTTAATGGTAATTAACTTACTGGCAGATAAATTCAGGAGTGTAAAGATATAACTGAAGTCTGTCCAGATAAGTATTCAAGCATTTGTCCTCTCTTTCCTCAAACTCTGTTGAGTTTACGAAAGCTTTGTACAAGGTATTATTGTCACAAAGAGGTGAGCGTTTAAAGAAGAGGTTTGATTTTAAGTTTTCTATTTTTTTAACCACTCCCAATGCACAAATTGTTTTTGTTTCTGACCTCACGGGTTTTATTTTTTGTGAAGGCAAAATTTAAATGGATATACATATATAAAAGTAAATAGTGTGCAGTTAATTTTAAATATATCTAAAAAAAATATTAGTAATTCATTATGCTTTTACGTACAACTAAAAATGAGTTGTCTGCGTCATAACTGTAGCGACAAGTGTGAGTGAAAACGACAAGTCGAAAAATTGAAAGATGTTTTGGTAAGTTTAAGATAAATCATACGATGATTGGCGATTAATGCAGAATGACTTTGTTAAATGCAAATTATTTTAAATTAAATATAAGAAAAAAGGAAGCTGGAATAAATTAATAACAACCATAATAATACACCAAGAAATAAACTTTCATTCAATACGCATATTATATGAAAGTAATTGTTCTAACCTTTAGTGATTTGATTAGTCAAATTTGTATACACATAACGAGAATCTATTCCTGAAAACAAACAAAATAAGTTAAAGATGATTCAAATAATTGTAGTCTACTATACATACATTTTATGTAGCGACTCATTTAACTGTTGAACAATTTCGCGCATTTGGCTGTTTAGTCAATACATGACATTTTCTAATGAACTCTGTTTTTTTGGGTGTTAATTTCTTGTCCGAACCTTCCTTTAGCCTCTCAAATACCTTGCTAGGGACAGATAAAAATATGATTTCTTTCCCTGATAATTACATGCAAAATGCAATCTGGGTGTGTTTTAGGAATAATTTTAGTTGAGCTGTAGAATGTTCTAAAAAACATACTTTAATGAAATCAATCGGATAGTCTTAGATATACTTGAATGCGACGATTTAACTTTTTTTTAATGCAGACACCATTTCTTCTTTTTCTAAGGGCTTATTTGTATAATTTGAGGCTAACCACACCAATACAATTTAGTATTATGTATAAACGTGTTGTGCTCAATATGGCCGGTTGACTCTGATTTCACCCTATTTTACTTTTTGGATATACAAGGCTGCCGTTATTTGATTTTGAAGTTATCTACCCTAAATATGCCGAGGTTTCTTCTTTTTCTTCATTCTTAATTTTAATGTTGGAAAGGATCCCCTTCAACACGAATAAGTATACGTGTCAACTGGTTATGCGCCATTGAGGCCAAGGACTCCGATTTCAGCCTGCTTTTCTTATTTTGCTTCCGTAGCCTTTGTCTAACCAAGAATCATAAGATACCATTATGTATATATATTTTTTTACATAGGCCTATATATATATATATATATATATATATATATATATATATATATATATATATATATATATATATATATATATATATATATATATATATATGAAGAGTTTATTTTCAAAACGCGATAAGCGCCATTTTTGAAAAAAATTAGATAACGTGCCCATATTGTAAAGCTACTCAGTTACTATTAGGAAAACTTAATTTTAACCTTCAGGGCGCAAAATTTTCATTTTATTTCTGTTTTTGAAAAACAGTTTTAGCATATTGTACAATGGCTTTGTGTAGGAGAAAAGTGCGATTTTCTCAAATCCCAAATTTTGGATATATTGCATTTTGAAAATCAACTCTTCATATATATATATATATATATATATATATATATATATATATATATATATATATATATATATATATATATATATATATATATATATATGCTCCCTAAATTTTACAATTTTAGTTTTTTAAACTATTTGTAATATTCTAACAAGCATTAGTTAGTTATACAGACAGACATAAAACCTGTCTAAAAGTAGGCCTATTTATCTGAAATTATATTTACAACGCTGATTTTTGGGTAATATTTAAGGCATGCAATTGTTTAGTGATTCAGCTGAGAAGTGTAGTGCTCTAACTAAGCTCTTAATTATTACAATGATAATAACCTCAATAAGAAACAAAATATGTTCTTTTTGTTGAGTTGTATTTCTACCGACAGAACGCGATGAAATAAAGTAAAAGATTATCTGGAAACGTTTTCTCCACAGAACATGACCAATGTATACTTAAGCGTTCACTCTTACAGAACATGTTATACAACATTTTAGAAAATCAACATAGCCTTTGTCCTGGAGCGTCTGCTATATTGACCAGATAATTATAAATTAATAGAAATAATAATCATTAAAAAACGTAAATGATGTGCACGGAACTTTATTATTTGAAGGCAAAATTGATCATCATTGAACTATAGAAAATCTAGAGAAAGTGTTCAGTGTGCGAAAACAAAAACGTAGTCGAAAACTCGAAAATGGGTGTGATTTTGTGCCCTTCAGAAGATGTTCCATATACCCATAACATGTATAGTTTAAGCCTACATATACATACGTGATGTCAGGTCTAGTATACATGTTGTAATTGTAAACACGCTGCTACAAACGTTTATTATGGGGAAATAGCTTTCGTGCCAACGTCCGACACCCGACACAAAAGCGTATTTTAAATTTAGTGTTAAAATGTTAATACCAACATATAAGATAAAAAAAATATTGCTCACCCAACATTATCCGCAGTTCTTCATCGATGTCTTGGAAGTTATAAAAAAATTGAATTGTTTTATTAATTGTACTCTAACAATTAAATCTAACATAATATATAAATCATCAAACACAACTTTGATATCATTTTTTTATAAATGTGTCACAAAATCACATTACAAAGTTGGCAAGTAGGTAAAGACTTGGATACAATAAAATTTGACTTTAAATTTGACTTAATTGGAAGAGTAATATTTTTAATGGATAAATAAAAAAAATAAAAAAATAGTAGGCAGATTTGTACGACTCTTTCCACACTATTATACGTGCAGTACCATGTTCATTAGGTGAGCAATTGTTTTAAGTCATGCAACTCTATTGCAAATTTAAAAAAAAAATTAAAGTAATGAAAAAATGCATAAAAACGTTATAATAACAAGCTTTTATGTAATAATGCACTAAAAAGGAGAAAAATGATTTCCTTTAAATATATAATAATACACTACTATTCAAATTACTATAACGATGAGCGTGGGTACCTTTTTAAGTATTAGTAAAGATATCCAATAGATAATATAGTAACCCACGCTTTTCTTTATAGTTATTTAAATAGTAGAGTATTTAAATACATTTGAAGAAATTCATTTATTTTCTCTTTTTTTAGTGCTTAAAACATAAACGCTTGTTATTAAAACGTTTTTATGCATTTTTTAAAATAATTTAGGTAATGTTTGTAAAGTTAATTTTGGTACAATAGTTATGCAGCTTGAATAGTAACATTTTTAGAATATAGTGTAACAAATATAATGAAATTTGAAGTATTGTATAACATAAATATGAGTGTATAAAATAGACCCACCACAGTTTTTATTGTGAAATGAGAATTTACTGGAAATCTCATTAATTAACTTTTGTATTTCTTCCACATCTTCATTTTCCAGGTTAACGATGCACTTTATGTATTCATTAATTCCCCTATAACAAATATTTAACATTGACTTCAAATAAGTTTCAACAGTGTTGTGTTGTACAAAAGTACAAAGTGCAATTTTTACTTAAGTAGTTAAAGATTAAAGTTTAAAAAAATAATATGATCATAATTTTTATTTTAAAAAAAGCATTATAATAATTAAAGATGAGTAATGTCTTAACTTAAAGTAAATAAAGTATTCCACATATACATTGCAAACACTTATTTTAGGAGCAGAACTCAACCTTATCAGTTTATATATATATATATATATATATATATATATATATATATATATATATATATATATGTATATATATATATATATATATATATATATATATATATTACGACCCCCCCCCCCATAGTTAATCATTTTGATCTAGGCTGGGAATCGTGAACAAGAACATGAACTAATAAAGTATTCCACATATACATTGCAAACACTTATTTTAGGAGCAGAACTCAACCTTATCAGTTTATATATATATATATATATATATATATATATATATATATATATATATATATATATATATATATATATATATATATATATATATATATATATATATATATATATATATTACGACCCCCCCCCCCATAGTTAATCATTTTGATCTAGGCTGGGAATCGTGAACAAGAACATGAACTAATAATAAATAATCACAAATATCAATGATTTCTTTTTATTGCACAATAACACTAACCCGCCACCACATGAAAACACTCAGAAAAATACAACTATGTCCTTAACGGTCAATATTAGCCTAAGTCTACTACAGACATCCCGTAGCTTTGCCACCAGTTCACAGAGAGACGTCCCCTTAGTCCTACTCCTACCCTAGCTAACCGAGTGTGTTAGTGTCTTTGTGTCCAAGTTTAACCTCTCCCAACAACCTCCACCGTGCTTCATTTTGGGAAATTTCCGCCCAAGCAGGTGTTAGATCTACCTATCGGCCATCTCTGGCCAGAGAATAAATTACAGCCCTAACTGACCGTAACGTCTCCTCTACGACCACCTGCGCCAGTCTGTGCATTTCTCATTACGGCCTGGTCCAACCACAAAAAAGGGCTGGACCGTCCAGACAATGACCCCCCCTTCCATCCATAAACCACTAGAAGACGCCCGGTAATGATAATGTCTTTATTATCAAGTATCGATGGTGTCATTATTATTGTGTATTTTTGTGGGCAATGACTTTTTAATTGTATGTTTACTCAATGACGTCATGTTATTGTGACAGGGGTCTCCAAACTACGGCCCGCGGGCCGGATGCGGCCCGCGACGTCATTTTATCCGGCCCGCGACGATCTTTTTGTCCAATGAATAAATGTTTGTTGGAGGTGGCTGATGAGCTTAGCAGAGAAAATTCAAAACTATTTGAAAAATGTAGCTGTGTGCAAATACAATTACTCGCCGTGTTGCAGACATTGGTGAAAACATTGCGACTCAAATAGCGAAAAATTCAAGCAAGTTCAGCCATTTTTCAATTGCAATGGATGAGTCGCTGGTCAGTTGTTCCACCTATCAAATTCGTGTGTTCATTAGAGGTGTGGGTGAAGACCTGAACATAACACAAGAGCTGGCTTCTCTACAAATAATGTATGACACTGTTACCGGAGAGGATATTTAATCATAGATAGTTCAGAGACAAACACAAAATCGCAAGATTTACCATATTTCACATCAGTAAGATTGCTAATTTTGCGAGAAAATTCTGAGCAGAGTATCTAAGAAAAGAAATAGGTGACTTCCTGATAGTAAAGGCAAGTCACAGCCATTATTGTCTGATGAGAAATGGGTATAGAAATTGGCCTCTGCTGCAGACATAACTAGTCATTTAAATTTTCTGAACCTAAAACGGCAAGAGAGTGAAATCTAGTTTCTGATCTATAACCCACATAAAGGCCTTTAGATACAAACTTGACATGTTTTTGGAACAAGTACAGGCCAACAACTTGACGCATTTTCAGCAGTGCAAGGTCTTTACGGCTGAAGCAACCACTGAGTTCCCCACGTCATTTGCATACGAGATCATCAAAGACTTCTAGCTGCAGTTTCGGTAGCGGTTCTCTTACGTGGATTCAAAGGCACAAAAACTGAGACTGTTTTAAAACCCATTTGAAACAAATGTGGCCAGTTGCAAAGATGAACTGCAGCTGGAGGTCAATGAATTGCAAGAAAATGACTTCCTTAGAGACCCGTTCAAAGAAGGGCAGATGGGTTTTCATACGTTTTTGCACAAGGAAGACTTTCCAAACATTAAAACTTTTACATCAAAGTACCTTTCAAATTTTCAAACAACATACCTGTGTGAACAAACATTTTCAAGAATGAAATACGTGAAGAACAATTTGAGGGCAAACGTGGACCTCGGGTGGGGGTGGACGGGGGTAGACACTTAAAATGTGTATATATTTCTATATAAATTATATTTCGTTCGGGGGGGGGGGTGAGGAGAGGAGGGGCGGTAGACGTTCTTCGGGGGGTGGGGGGGGGGGGCGCCACAACCCCGAAGAGATGCCTTAAAGAAACTCTGGCCCCCGAACTAATATTTGATAGTAATGAGGCCCTCGGGCTAAAAAGTTTGGAGACTCCTGTTATTGTGTATACTTTCCCGGGTTTAGAAAATTTCCTACTATATGTTCCATATGACATCACGTTTCGTTTTCCGTATTACTGTGTATGTTTTTACCTTCCTTGTGTTTTCTCTACAGCGTTCCCAAAAGGTAGATTGATAGATAGACAGACAGCAAAACTATTATTATAGACGAGATTAATGTCCCGCTAAGGGAGAGATACAACAGGCGCTAGGTTGATAATTTTGTCTTTTTCTGTAAATTGAAACCAAAACCAAAATCACCACCTAAACTTAAAATGCAACCGAAAACGAGAATGTCAATGTAAACGGATTTTTATCCAAAATCGGCATTTTCATCTAATTTAAGCTTGATCTACAAGTAGTTTCAGCACATTAATACTAAATAGTCGTTGCCACTCCACTAAACCTTGCACATAAGCTCAAACATGACAAAAGTCTCATTTAAAGTTTATTTCAGGCGACTACATAGGGGTCGTGGGTAGAGAGGGCTCCCCCCCCCCCCCCGAAGCACGTCTACCGTCCCATTCCACAAAATATAATTTATATAGAAAATTTAGTCCACCCCACCCCCTAAAATTTCCAGTACCCCCTTCCACCCCTTTGGGGAGAAAAATGTCTGAAAGTAACAGTGGTCGTATTTCCAGAACATACGGCGGGAAGGGTGGGGCTCTGCCCCCCCCCCCCCACCCCATACCCAAAGAGTTGCATGAAAAACAATTTATATATAAAATATTTTCAATTACCAGTGATTTTTTTCCTCGAAGAGTGGGTTCGGGGAGGGGGGGGACTTGAAATTTTCATGGGCGGGGTGGACTAAGTTTTACGAGAGAGGGAGGCGAACACTGGAAAAAAGTTTTTTTTTTATAAAATATATTTCGTTACAGGGGGTGGTAGCCGTTCTTCAGCGGGCTTCGTTACACATATTTATATTATAAATGGGCATTTTTATATTATTGGTATACTTAATGTGCATACCTATTTCAACTTTACTTATGCTAGAAAAAAATGAGTATAAAAAGTTCGTGTCCATGTTTTTTTTCTTCTAATTACATCTCTTAAATCAGTGGATATATAGCTTCATCTAGTATAACAGAAGAACATACCCTATACAACTTTCATGAAAACCTAACCAAGACTATCAACAAAACATATGAAACTAAAACGTGTATGTAACACATATGGTTACCAGCCAAGGGGGATAACAAATAAAGTTTACCTCAGTGAGTGAGGGTTACATGTATGCTAAAGAAGATTTTATTCAAGATTTCTGTATGTGAGATTAATTATGAATAAAAAATATCAAAAGCAAGTAAAATAATGTATGTTTCAAGAAAAAAAAAGTATTGGCTCCATTAACAAATGAAATACCTTGTACAATGTAATACTTAATCTACAATGTAATACTTAATTTAGTTAATAAACGTTAGAGATTTATAAAATCCAATGTGTTTAGCTTTTCGTGGGTAAATGCTTTTTGTTCATTGACTTTAATTGTTAATGTCAGTGTATGAAAGTATTGAAAAAAATACAAAAATAAAGTACAGGTATATGCAATGATTTTCAACAACAATCAATCTAAAGAACATTTCAAGTTAAATTTCAAGATTCTAATTTTACGGTATTAGTAACTATATTACGTATCAATTTTAATCACCAAAAATTCAAATTCTTCATATGTTAACTGCTTATATTAGTATTGACTTGTGACATTAAATAATCATATCAAGTGGTAATATCTTAAAATATAAACAATGAAACTAACACCAGTTGTTTAAAAAAAGTGCATTGCTCTGTAACCAATGCAGAACCACTGTAAACATTGCAACCATGTATTAAAACAACTCTGTAAAAAAGCCTTACCTGCATATCTGGTCTTCTGTTTCATCTGTATTCATAAATGATGTTAGACAGATGTGTTTATCTTTGCAACAAACTGATTCTAAATAGATGCACGCTCATTAATAACATTCAAACAATGTAAGAAATTAAGGTAAGAAGTGTGTGCTATCGTGCTTTAAATATTATTTATAACTTGCAGATTACTTGTGGGTTTACTACAACTTTTACAGAATCGTAACGAGTAATTTTGAATATTTATATTTGTCATTATGACTCACAACAAAATATGCCGCTACATTAAAGCTATCTACAATAAACCGGGAGTGATCTCCCCTAAACTTTCTCAAATATTTTTTTATAAAATAACAGGGGATGGGAACTCGGGCTATAGACATGATTTTTAATCCATTTTAAATACTTAAAGTTTTAAAAATAGAATAAAATCTCGTAGACAAAAGAATTGCACACCGAGTGAACGCTAAATAAAAAGTGCATAATAGTGCGCAATATTATTAGTACTTTAAAAATTTACATTAGTTTTTTGAGAAATCGGAAGTAGCGTAAATTACTACTTCCGGTCAACGGAAATTACTCAAAATTAAACAAAAGGTAGAGAATTAGATCTTTTACTTACATGTGAAATGTCATTTATCTATCTGAAATAGTACTCAAGTTATAGGCTTTTGAAAAATTCAAAGTAGGAAAAGTACCACTTCCGGTTATTGGAAATCGCTCAAAAGTTGATAAGTATCTACGATTTTGATAAAATACTTATATATGAAATTTCATCAACCTAGCTATAAGGGTACTCAAGACAGACAGACACACAGACAGACTCACAGACATACGGACAAGATTGCAAAATTATGTTTTTCCGTATCAGTGAGGTGTAAAACGTCGAGATTTGTAAAAATCTCGATTTTTTTTTTTGCACGATTACAAGACTTTCTCTATACTTTGTATATACGAGAAAGTAAAAAGCTCGTCAATGCTCCTGTTGCAATATTACGCATTTGTATTATTTATATATAGACCTTCGAGTTGCATTTTCATGATATAACTATCTTCACAGCCCATCAAAACACAGGCACTACAAAATTTAATTTTATGTTAGGTAGACATTCAGTTTTATAAGTCAAATTTTAAGGATAAAATTTCATGGAAACAACAGGTATACAAAAAACTGAATACTTATCTTTAAATTTGAATATCTTTTGTTTTCTAACTATTACAAAGTAACAATCAAACCAATATGTAATCGACTCCTTTTATTGAACAGATGCTGAAAGGGTTTCTTTTTATCTCATTTCAAACAAAACCAATTCCTACACGTTAAACTTAATCTAAATCTTAACATTAACCTCTGAACCGGAATCGAAAATCTACCTGGAACGAAGTCTTTGGCTCTGGTAAAGTAGAAGTAACCGCATCTCACGCAGTAGCGTAGCGAGGGGGGGGGGGGGCGGGGGGGGACGGCATATGTCCCCGGGCGCCGACCTTAGGGGGCGCCAAAATGGGTTGGAAACATAAATTGAAAGGTTGAGGGGGGGTGCAAATGGAATTCTCAAGGGGGGGGGGGGTGCAAATCGAAAGTTTGAGGGGGGGTGCAAATCGAAATCTTGAGGGGGGGGGGGTGCAAATCGAAAAGTTTGTCCCCGGGCGCCGGGAAGGGTCGCTACGCCTCTGATCTCACGATTGTCCTTGCTAAGTCTATTATAAATATTTTTTTTTCACCTGACCTAGTCGAAATTTCTTTAATTTTTTTGCTTTTTTTTACCAAATGTTAATCTAATTCAATAATTTAAAAAAAAATTGTACTAATATTTCAAAATAGCATAATCTGTTAAAGGGTCATGGGAGCTTTGTCCACCTGTGCTTGACGAAAGTGGCTTTGGCCATAGCTGTGTTGACTACGGCGGGGCATCGACCACATCAGAGGGTTGACCAAATTAAGTTTTTATAATAGGGCTAAGGTTAGGGCTAGGGCTAGGGCTAGGGCTAGGGCTAGGGCTAGGGCTAGGGCTAGGGCTAGGGCTAGGGCTAGGGCTAGGGCTAGGGCTAGGGCTAGGGCTAGGGCTAGGGCTAGGGCTAGGGCTAGGGCTAGGGCTAGGGCTAGGGCTAGGGCTAGGGCTAGGGCTAGGGCTAGGGCTAGGGCTAGGGCTAGGGCTAGGGCTAGGGCTAGGGCTAGGGCTAGGGCTAGGGCTAGGGCTAGGGCTAGGGCTAGGGCTAGCGCTAGGGCTAGGGCTAGGGCTAGGGCTAGGGCTAGGGCTAGGGCTAGGGCTAGGGCTAGGGCTAGGGCTAGGGCTAAGGAAGTATATGTGTGTCCGTCCGTCCGTCCGTCCATCTTTCTATTCATTCTTTATACATGTATTTATGTATTCATTAATTTAATATATATGCGTGACGTATATTTGAGGAGGTCCACAAAACATTTTGACATTGATAATTGTTTCCTTTTTAGCACTCTCCGAATTCATGCGAAATATTTTTATCTTTTGTAAAATTTCGAATTTTAGTAAAATTGACGTCCTAATTTTACTAAAAGTCACTTAAGTGCACATTACTATTTTAAATATCCCATTACATTGTGGCATATCTATAATATGCATGTATTATTATGCATGGTTAATATATTAAATGCAGCTATTCAACATTTTTAAAAAATACTTACTGGTTTGAATGAATGCACACAAATTAACCAGTATAAAAAATGTGGCACATAAATTCATTTTGTAAATTAAACAAAAGTGACAATGTTTATACAACTTCAGCAAGATATATATCCTTCACATGCATTTAAAATAAAATCATAATCATTTGCAACATCAATAAATCTGTATAAACAAGCAATATTATGATCTGATTTATGAACATAAGAAAACTACATAGGAGTAAGACAAACAGCAAAAAGCAAATCAAACTGCGAGTCTCGTATGAATGTACGTGGCGACAATAGTGTCGCTTGCTGTGTCAACCTGTAATTTCTGGGATCGCACAGAGGACACCACTGCGCAAACGCAGGTTTTAAGGAAGTAAAACGCAATTGATACACGGTTGATTCCGGCATATATTATGATAACTGACTTTTAAAAAAAAAATATTGTAGCTGCAGCTTTTAGCATGGAATAATAATAAAAGATTTATATATTGGCATATATATATATATATATATATATATATATATATATATATATATATATATATATATATATATATATATATATATATTACTGGCATTGTTACAGGTTTCTGTTTAAGATGAGTGATCCAGCGTTCAACTACGAAAATGAAGAAATCGAATGAACATTTTAAGCTGATAAGGGTTATAGAAAGGGGTTTAATAGGTGGTTTGTTTGAGCCCATACCCCCTACCCCTGTCAAACATACAGTCCTAAAAGTAAACTTTCAATTACTAACATGTTGTTAAGCTGTGTGTTTACAATTGGGATTACAAAAAGCGATTACACCTTTAAGAAGTACTATAAATGTTATGAACAAATAATGGTACTTTTTTTACAAATAGTTTTTTTAATAGGTCAACTAAAACGGATGGTATTTAATAATTGAATAGAGATCAATTTACTTAAAACAAATCTATTACTTTTCTGCAAATCTAATTTGTTCAGGACCAAATTTAAACCGTTTATGATGATAATATAATATATTTTAAATCGCATTTATGTTGCTTTCTCTCTAAGAAAAAGCAACAGAGAACAGAGGAATGCTACCTTTATTATGTGTTTTAAAAGTTCCAAATGAAAGAAACATTGTGGCTACTTTTAGATTAACAACTACATTGCTACTTTTGTAGAAGCTCACTGAATTTTTAAAAAAAAACTATTTCAGGTCTATTTATTTAATCTCATGCATATAGTTAAAAGTAACAAAAATATTTTAGGCTACATAATTACGTTGATTTTAATATATAATAACATAATTTTGGGTTAAGTATATTTTTTTACAAAAATTCATAATTTTTTAAAATAATCAGCTTTTATGTGATAATTTACTAAATTTAGAAAATAAATGAAACACTACTATTTAAATAACTATAAAGAAAAACGTAGGTCACTTAAGTATCTATTGGATAACTTTACTGATAATTAGAAAGAGACCCACGATTTTCCTTATAGTTATTTAAAGAGTAAAGTAGGCTATTATTTATTTTCGACTTTTTAGTGCATATTACATAAAAGCTTGTCATTAAAACGTTTTTTGTGAAAACAAATTTCGACGCTTTGATTTTAAAAAAATCTGCAATAGAGTTCCATGACTAAAATCCATTGCGCGCCTAATGAACGTGAAAACGCGCGTATAATATTGCGGGATAGTTGGGTAAAACAGCCTACCTGCTAATTTGGACACAGTTTTAAATAATCCATAAAATATTAACTAGGCATCCAAGTATTCTTAATTTAATCTCAGATTGTATTGTCTTTATGTCTTGACCCACGGGCTAACTTTCAACTGAATATGTCAGAAGTGCTCGAAATTTTGCTCGGGCATTTGGATCGAGACTGACGACAGACTGACCACAGACAGAGGAAGCAAGTTAAATGAAAGCTTGTAATAAAGAAAAGTAGACTAAAACAGTATAAAGTGTTTATTTTTAATAAATGAATATTTTAAAACCATTAGCCAATACGAAAGTGTGTACTTAAGACATAAAGTCTACTTAATATCATACATCTTTTCAACTATTTCAGGATATTAATCTCTGCAATATCCTGACAAAATGTCTTCTTGATAAAGATTTGCAGGGTGTATAAATAGTTTATAGTCTTTGTTAAAGCTAACTATCTTACTTCTCCTTTCTTCCCCGACATTCATGCTTGGTAGCCGAAATATTTTGGCTCTAGTTTCCAAACTTTTCACGTGGAATTTGGTCATGTACCAAATAGCTGAAGGCGGGGAAATAATAAAATTCCATCAACCTATAAGAAACAAGATCGCTATATTTTATGTGCGAGAGTGTGATATTTTGAAAATCTCTGAGACTCTTTACATAGAGGGGAAACGTTTAATTCATCTATGGCTGCTCTACCAGGTTTTATATGTCCCCAATACACTCTTGCAGTGGAAAGTGATATATACGAACCGAATGACTGGAGTGTATTAAATGTGAGAGCTCCATGGCTTTTATTCATCGCCAACAATGGTTTAACTTGTTTCGGTTGTCCCCGTAGTAAAGAAACTATGTAAATACGAGACTGTGGATAGCGTTAAGGTACCTTAAATTACTGAAGTGGGGATTGTTAAAAATAAAATAAGAACTATATCTGAGAAATATTTTGTTTTTCATTTCGCCAAGATAACCTTGGGAGAGCGATAATTTTTATGTTATAAAATTGTTAACACCTTGACAATATCTTATATCACTCTATTACTTGAATCTGCTGTTTAATCGGTGAACACATTACATGACGATTTTCTTTTCTTCTGCATGCTTTGTTTGATAATTCAAAGACGCTACTTTATCTGATGAATTATAGTTATCTGCCATAACACAGGAAGAGTACGTGTCCTCACAGAATAAGTTTCTTAATAACTGCCATAGGATTTCTCTTCGGAGGTAGATGTCTTTCTATGGGTCAGAATTCTAGAGGTGCGTATGTGAGTTACGTTTCTGGAAGGCGTTGGCCGGGAAAAATGCCAGCCTGCCTCCAACCTCCCACATGAGCCTCTGGGCCCAGTAGCCGCGCCAGATGTCGCAGACACGGAATGTGGTTGTGGTCGGGATAAACAGAGCCCAGAAGGCGGCGTGGTGGAACAGGGTGTTTTGTGAGTTGAAGGGGCTGAACACACCCTCGGGTATAATCACAGGAGGGGCTAATGGATCAAAGGTCACATTTAGAATGGCGGATGCTGATTTCCTTGAACATCTAAAAATAGCATCTATGTCAATGTTGCGAAGCGTGTATAGGACGGGGTCGAACATACATTAAAACGTGGATTTATCAAGAATGACGATTTGATATAAATAAATTGACATCATCTCATTGGTTCATTGCATTGTTTATTGCACCATATAGATACGAAACACGACTTTAACAACCTATATTAACACTCGACTACATGCACTAAATCAACCTAACACAACAAGACGCAATATTTGACTATAAACACAAAAAATGATGATTACCTTCACAGTCTAGCACAACATCTCGTATACTATCCTAACCTACTTCCCCCAGCAACAAGATTTCACTCTCATACGTCACATCCTTAGGTACCTCGTCACACAGTCACAATCTTTTATTAATATAAAACATTTCACTACACACATACTCTCATTCCCTTGCAATTGACAATGAAATCATTCATAACCTATCCCTCTTCCTTCCCCAGGTGATAATATATACAAGAACCATCCAATTAGAAGCTACAAAAAACATTCTAACAAATGCAACTGCAAACAAAATTAAACTAAGCATCTTACAAAAAAAGTAAAAAGTTCATCTGTAGTCAAATTTAAGTTCAATTCATCAGCAAGTATTCGATGTCTTCACACACAAACTGTGGTGACGCATCGTCACATCAACAATTCAACATGTTTGTTGTCTCTGGACATCAGCACGGGGCTTTAGAGTCCAGCAAAACTTGTTCTTGATCATCTGAGAAGATGAGCTTCTTCTGCGTGCAAAAGCCAAAAGTTGCCTTCTCAATAGTGTCGTCTGTTTTATGCAGCCTAAAATAGCGTTGAATAATTAACCCCCTCAGTCGGAGCGACTTTCCTTCAAAATAGGCTGCATCTGTCCTCTCAATGGCATGTTTCGTAAATGTTCCTCGTGTTGTCTTGCGCTGGTTTGTCTTGGCATGATTCTGTGAAGACAAAAAGCTAGTAAAATGCCTTAGACTAAATTCAAAGATACAATCTATACACACAAAAAATTCAGTGATTGCATGCGTATGATTAGACAATAAAAATTGTTATTATCGAGTAAAATTATTATGATTATTATTATTATTATTATTATTACTACTTGACTCGCATATTATTAGTTTATTCACTGTATACATGCTAGGGGAATATAATGACTTTACTTAATCATTCGGAAATTCACGAGAGAAAAAAGAAAAATATTTTGCATTTTTTGTACCAAGTAATCTTTTTTAATGACCGGGGTGAAAAGTCACGCTTCAAAAAAGTGTGACATTTCACCCCAAGGCCTGTGACATTTCACCCCAGCAGGTGGTTATCATACAAAATGATCCACACTTTCAAATACATTTCTCAGAAGTACAAACAATTGAGAAAACAAACATTGCATGAAAACACAAAGGTAATGAAAGATGCAAGTATAGTTACAGGTTTATGTTATAATGCATGTTTCAAGTATAGATAGGCGCGAGTGAATGTTGGCGCGAAAGGAATGTTGAATGCATTGGAATGATGACGCATATTGAAAGACAGTGACGTTTTTGGGTAGAAGCTTGGATGCTGGGCATTGAGTGTGAGTAAGTTTTATCTGGATCGTCATGGTGAGAGGATGTATATTGACCGGTGTGACTCAGTCGGGATTGAGATATCTGAATGTAGATGAAGATTATAAACAAGTCTTATACCAGAATAAATCAGAAGGAGGAATACATGTGTTCGTCTTATCTATAAATTGTCATCTGGTCGTCTGGATGTGAAATGGCACAATGACTACGTAGAATGTCTGATATTGCTTAGTAGGGAACAAGAAGTTTAAGACTCTCACACAGTCGTAACAGTTTTCGCGGATTGAATTCCCCACTTTGTCAATGAAAACAGGTACATGTGGTTTTGAACGCAGTTCCGGTACAGAAAGTTAAACAGGAAGTGAACTCCAAGCAGGGTAAACAACTAATAACAACTATTTTCTTGATTAAGGAATAAAAATTTATGTTCTTCAAGGCAAAAGCTTGCTGTGACTTTTCACCCCCTTATCCCCTACTAATTAA